GCCCTCCACTTCCCGTTGCCTCAACCCCAGCGTGATCCAGAAAGCCATCAATGGCTTTTTCACATCTAACAGTGCTGTGCGGGACTTCCTCATCAGCTTCCTGGAGGAGGCAAGTTTGGAGGAGGTGGAGGTGGGAGGTTGGCTGAGTATTTCCATGGAATTCTAGGATGACTGGCATATATAAAGTAATACATTTAAAGATTGTTTAAATGTTGAATTATGGAAGTGGGAAACATTATTCTGTCACTCTATAGCCTATGGACATGGAAGTGGATCTACAGTTCCGGCCCCGCACAGGGAAGGCAGCTTCCACTCCCCTCTTGCTGGAAGTAGAAGCATATCTCCAACTACTCCTGGTCATCTATTTGATGAATAGCAAATGCTACCAAGAGGTAATGGCTCAGCATTCCATATGTTTTGTTTCCTAATTGAATGCAAAGACTTGCTAAGGATCATGCATGGAGCTAGAGGGTAGAAGAAACAACTGGACATTAAAAAAGGAAAATTATCTAATGCTTTCCACACACACCCAACTAACATTTATATACAGGAGAGATGCTGAATGTACAATTATGAACCAATATATTAACAAGGGAGAAATGTATCAATGGCAGGGACATTACATCCTTTGCAGATTTTAATCCATAAGATCATTGTCAGATTTATGATCAAATACAGTAACTAGTGATAGTTATGCAGAATGCCCTTTGGCACTGGTCCCATTCCCTCTTCTTACTTGTGCCCTACCACACTTCTTCATTCAAGTGCCATATGAACACTCTTCCTCCAAACCTGACATTGTTTTTGTGGAAATTATTATACACGTTTAATTTATGCATGTCCCCAAACCATATTGAATAGACTGGGTACCATAATATAATATCTCACAATCTGGGATTTTCATAATAGCAGGGATTAGAAATTTCTGTCCAAATGAATATGTTGTTATTGCTTTTTAGCAAAATGACTTATGAAATACTTAAAAGATAATCCCAGCTGCGTCACAACAGCCCTGCCTGCGCTCCTAGAGTCAGTAGCCGGACTGGCNTATTCCCCCTCCCAATTCCCCACTAATGAAACAGCATAATAAAATAAGAGAGAGTGTGGCAGGCCAAAGATCCTAAAAGGAATATGACTGCAGGCCTGACAGTCCACTTCCCCCTCTCTTTCAAACTCCTTAAAAAAACATTTGCCACTTGTCCACCCAGAGAATTCTCTGCTATTTTATAAAAGCACAGTGTTAAGCTTCTGGAAAGTGAATGGAGTTGGCTCTAATATTTCTGAGTCTATATTTCTTCCTGGCCAGTTTACAGCTGGGAAATCACATTTCTTCTATATGTTTTCCACCATCTTGTTTCTGTGTCTATATTTAGTTTCCAACAAATCTGCTACATTGCAAACAAGTTATTCTTGTAGGTTTAAAGTATTTATTGTCTGATTTTTAAAAATGTTTTGCACAGTCTTTATAAATTCATCAAACCTTTTAGAAAAAAATTCAGCTAAAGATATACAATACAATACAATAGCAGAGTTGGAGGGGACCTTGGAGGTCTTCTAGTCCAACCCCCTGCCTAGGCTTGCACGTTGCTAGCCAGATTCTGTTCCCCCCCCTTGAGTGTCAGCCTCTTCCTTCTCTCTGTAATCGGACACATTGTTTCTCAAAGCAGGGAGCAAGCAAAGAAGACATGGAAGATATTTTCTGACTATTTTGATCCAAAAAGTTTTTGCAGGTTAATAACATACAAATCCAGAGTCACGTACAGTTTTTCCATATGGAAAGCAGAATTTGATAACAGCAGTCAAATAAATCAAAGAAAGAAAGCAAAAAAGAAAACAGAAAGAATCCAACGGGTTGAAATAGATCAGCATTCAGCCAGTCAATCTTTAAAGATAATGTAGGAAATCAACACCCCACCCCCAGAAAGAAGGCTTTCCTAGGATCAAATCATTCACTTCTCTCCACTACCAGGAAAACACTCCACGCAGTCCCTCCAACAGTTAAGTTTTATGAATGAGATACTTTTGTATCTATTGAGAAAAATGGAGCATTCCCTTCAGTATCCATTTTCAGAAATCCAGGCCAGCCTATTCACAAACAAAACGCCTTCAGCCACAGCTCCCACAGAAGGCTGGAGCTGATGGGATTAAGAATTTCCATTCCCCCACCCAAAATCTAAGGACAGGACATGACCTTTAGGACATAATAGGATTAACCCGCCACCATTGGAATAGTAAAAGACACAAGGCTCACATCATTGCACAACCCCCTGGAGCATCTCAATCACCAAACCCCAGAACCCTATAAAAACCCATCCACTCTCAGTCATTTTGTCAGCCACCTCAGAAACATGCTGTTTTCACTGAAGTTTCTGGAAACCAAATAAACAGAGACCTTATTTCCTTGTAGCCAGCGTTCCATTTTATTTCCAGCATTTTTCTCCTGACTTGGAACCGGACTGGATTTTTCTTCCAACAATTACAAAAACAAAAGTTCAAAAAGTGAACTTAAAAGTCCCCAGACATGCTTACGAAAATGTTATACTGGTAGGAAGAGGTGTAAAATGCCCATTGACGTTTTGGCTGCTCCCACAAGGAGTCACAATCTTCAAGATTCCCCCTCCTGGGTGGATCCACAACTATCCAAAAGTCATCTTGGGTCATTCCTAAGTGCCCCCATTCAAATCCAGGGGGCAAGACTGTCAAAGAACCAGCTCTGGCAGAAAACTCAGCAGATTGTGAGTAAAAGAAAGAAAGCTCAGCAGCCATCTTGGGGAGGAGTCTCCCTTTGTGTAAGTTTTTGTTGTGTGAATATTAAGATGCTCCAATCAGTGGTGAGTAGTTCCTGCCACATTATACTGTTAAAGCCATCTTCCTTGAGGTATCTTTCTTTATTGTACATTGCAGACATTAAAGAACATGTGAAGGAACTTGAGAAGGCTGTATCAGGAAAAGAACCCCGCTATGTCCTACGTGCCCTCAGAGCTTTGCCCTCCACTTCCCGTTGCCTCAACCCCAGCGTGATCCAGAAAGCCATCAATGGCTTTTTCACATCTAACAGTGCTGTNTTCCCAGCTTGTTTCACGGTTCCGTCGCCACGGGAACCAACACTCCCCATTTATCCGGGCTTGTGACCGGCTATGGTTTCCCATAGGCTGGGTTCTGCGGTATGGGGGTCACACAAATGACTATATCTCTGCAAGTATTGCATCGGCACACGTAACACTTTACCAGTGTTTATTGGGGACGTGTGTACATGTTCATACCAAATTTCATCTAAATCCGTGATGGTCGCGCAGGGAGCCCCAGACCAATTGACATGGAATGACCCATAAATTGTATAATATGTTATTCATAAACTATGTGCTAGTCTCCATTATGGAAAATTGCAACTTATTATATTGTACCTCATGGTGCTTTAGGATACTGAAATCTGCATCTAAACTCAGAACACAGTATCTTTCGTGGCTAAATTCACATATGAATAGCTTTGATACTTAGGAATTTGAGCCAATATGATATTGACTTGAAATAGTGTCAGAATTCTTATTTAGAATCCAAGGAATACATGATAAAACTAGGACTTTGTTATATTTTAGGGAGTTTGTGTAAGGTTTTTTTTTTTGTGGAAAACTTTTAGTTTATTCAAAGGTGGTTAAAATCCAAAACACCATTTTTTTTTAAATGGATAAAAGAATTAAAAACCACAAAAAAGACATTAAAAAGAAAAAGGTGTCTTTAAAAAAATGAAAAAAAGACTAACACGTACACACATGACATCCTCTCTAGTTGAATGCTGATTAATACAATACAGCAATGTTGGTTTCTTACCCCTTGTGAAACAGGCCAAAAGAATTTTAAAATATTAAACTACTAAGTCTATTTACAAATTGTTAGCCTATAAACTATATTAATAACAAAATAGTTAACAGAAAAAGTAATAATAATGAACATATTATGTAAAGGTAGTAAACATTGTGAACAATAATAAGAGACAGACAAGATTGAAATTCCAAAACCCTCTGTTAACAAACTGTTATTGTAATCAACTGGTAGAAAATTTACCCTGACTTCAATCCCAAATCATCCTAAATATTAACCCTAATTGGTCTCAGATCAAATATCCATGTTTGTTTCTTTATACCATCTTATCAATTGCTGATTGATTGAATACAATCTCCAAAGCCAATCTACAAATTTGGACATTATCACTTAGGGGTGCACTCATTTTTGTTGCTAGCAGTTTAGACATTAATGGTTGTGTGTTGCGTTATTTTGAGGGGACAGGACATTTACACTGTTCTACAAGCTGCATACTCACTACTTTACATTGTAGCCAAGTGTCATTTCTTCAGTGTTGTCACATGAAAAGATATACTTAAATCTTTAAAAAATGTGAGGAGCTGTGCTCCAGGGGTGGGTTTCAATTTTTTTTACTACCGGCTCTGTGGGCGTGGCTTGTTGGATCATGTGATGGTGGGCGTGGCTTCATGGTCATGTGACTTGGCGTGGCTGGTTGGTCATGTGACGGCATAGCTGGTTGGTCATGTGACTGGCTGGGCGTGGCCAACTTGACATCACTCACGTCAAGGGGCGTCTTGCCTGGACTCTCCTTGCCTCAGGCCTCAACGAGATACAATTTCTCAGTCTATTTATTTACTACTTGTGAACATCCAAAATATTTAGTCCTATGTATATATGCCATATGTGCGCATACAGATTACATAGTATAGAGTGTGTATAGGCACACAAAAGGATACGTTATATACTATATACAACAGTGGTGGGTTGCAGGCGGTACGCCCTGGTACAGGGGGACCGGAGCCTGCCTGGAGCACCGGGTACTGTTCCGGTACGGTGCTCCAGCAGGCCCGCCCACGTTCCTTACCTGTCCTTTAAAGCCTTCGGTGCTTACGTGCATGGCGCATACAGCACCTGTGTGATGCTCCGCCGAGCAGCTGGAGCGTCGCGGAGGCTTGCAGGGGCAGCGCTGGAAGGTAAGACGTGTGCGCATGTGCGCCACACACATTCATGTGGAAGACGCTGGGCCCCACCACTGATATATACTGTATGTACACACACACACAGCTCTTCTAAAACTGTACACATTCAACCTCACTTACTGCATTTGGAAAAACACACCCAGAGTCCACTTTCTGCCACACATTTAACTATAACGTCTGTACATTAGAACATTACACATGCCTTCAGATGTTCTTCCCTAGCCTGCACATGACTGTTAGAGCTAAGAGATGTCATGGATTGAGCAAAATGTGGTGAAACTCACTTAATGCTCTTGCTTAGCAACCAAAATGTTGGGCTCAATTATGGTCATAAGTCAAGAACTACCTCTGCCTTCCTCTGCATGGCAGCCTTGTCCTAGTAAACTCCTCCTTTCTGGTAATTTTCCTCTTGTTAGAGGCACCAATATAATCCAGACAATATAATGTTCTCCTGTGATCTGCTTGGAGAATCCAAGCATGGGTTAACGTTTGTCCATTAGCCTTGAGACTGAGTTAGAAAAAGTCTTGGCCACGCCTCCTCTGGCTGGAAGAGTGCAGTTTTTTTAACTCAGTCCAGCCTTAAAGAGACATAAATAATTTAGCTCTAGCTATATTTTTTCAGGTTCTATTTTATTTTAATTTCACATTGTTTTATTATAGTTTCTTAGAGTTATGATAGTTATTACAGTTTATTCCTGTCCTTTCTATTGGATTGTGATCACGGGATTGTTTGTTAATTGGCTGCGGGTCAATGCGCTGGTTTTCCCCGTTCCACCAACTAGAACCGCCACTACCCAGGCACTTCAGGGGAGCAGGGATAATCCTTGCTCCTCGTCATTTTGGCTTGTTTGAAGTTGTTCGTGCCGTGACGTTATTGGCAGCCGGAGAATCTGCCTGATCACTTGGGCTGAGCTCCTTCGCCCCGTCTTTGGTCTTGGTGAGGTTGGTGGAACTGGTCCGCCGGTTTCGTGCTGCCACGTGGACTCTGCCACTGTGAGAACTGCCAGGTTAGTCTGAGAATCGGAGCCGGTGTGCTCCTCCAGTTCCGTTTCTGCACTTTGAATTTCGTGCCATTCTTGGGCTATTGGTGACCGCCATTTTAGAAGCATCTTATTGCGTCTGCCATTTTGAAGGCGGGAGGAGCCCCTGCCATTTTGACTGCTGGAAGACACATCAGCAGTTACTTTCGGCGCCAGGAAGTCGCTTTGCTGCTCTCGCCATTACGCCGATCAACTCTGGGCAGTGCGGTCATATTTTCTGGAGCTCCTCAGAATAGATCTTTTCCACTCTCTGCGATCACGCTCTGACTAGGAATTGTGAAGAGGTTTGGAGTGGGCCCAGTGAGATTACTCCACGCTCACAGCACAGCACAGTTGATTCAGAGCCAGCCCCCCCCCCCGTTGCTCAGGGTTCCTCCCACTCTCTTCCACCCATCTGAAATGGGCCCAATTCTAGATCGTACACAGGAGTTAGTAGTCCCTAGGATGGCTGATCATTCTATCTTGGGCAGCAGCACAGTGGCAGAGGTTTCCCCAAAGCCCCGGTCTACATCAGGTGATCCCAGTGCCAGGGTAGGTAGGCCCACCACCAGGGGCACCTCCACCAGATCCTGAACAAGTGGATCGGTGGTTGGGGCTGCTGCCGCTACGTTCGATAGAGAGGCCAAGGGAAGGCAGAAACCTTCCAGGAGGGCACAGGCCAGCCGCTCACCTCCAGCTCTAGCCTTAGAGACCCTCTCTTCACATTCNAAGTTGTCCTCGCTTAATGGCCGGTTGCTTAACAAGTGTTCTAATTTATGACTGACCTCCCCAGAGCTACTTGCCCTGTTTTTGGAGTTTTGACAGACAGACACACACAAACACACACATGACCAGTTACAACATCCCACACAGTCATGTGACTGAGATTTTCTGTTTTTTGCCGGTTTCCTACAATTCCTTCTGGTTTCTGGTTAAAAATACCCATTGGGGAAAATGGACTTGTTTAACAACCACAGTGTTTGCTTAATGACCACAAGGTTCACTTAAACAGGTCTCTCTCCCTCTCTCTTTTTCCATCTCTCTGTTTCTCATTTCTCTCTTTCTCCCCCCTCTCTGTCATTCTTTCTCCATCTCTCTCATTTCTCTCTTTTTCCCTTCCCCCCTCTCATTCTCTTTCTCCATCTCTCTCTCTGTTTCTCATTTCTCCCCCACCCCTCGTTTGTGTGTGCGCACGCGCTCTCAAGCCTGATAGAGGACAGAGCCATCCACTCTGTCGCAGCCCTGAGTGCCAACATCACAACTGCCCCTTCCTCTCCCCCCCCTTGTTACAGTCACACTCTCTTCTTCTTTCCCTCTCCCCCACGAGCTTGCCATTCTCCTTGCGGCGCCTGCAGGGCTCGAGAGTTTTCCCTCTCCTCTTTCCCGAGGCGTAGGTTTTAACTGAGTGGAAGCAAAAGCAACCAAACAGCACATGTCCTCCCAGAGCAGCAGCTGCTTGCCCTGAAATACCACCTTTTTTTCTATTTTTTTGTTAAATAGTTTTACATCATTAGCGAAGAGAACACAGTTGCTTGGAATATGATCGCAAAGGTCATTTATGTAAAGTATTAAGAATGTTGGTCCTAAAATGCTGCCTTGGGGGACATGGCTGTTAGGTGCAGGATTTGATAGGGCGCTCCCTATTTTGACCACTTGTTGCCTGTTTGACAGGAACACAGCTGTCCAATTATGCAGGGGTCCAGAGATGCCATAAGATTTTAGTTTTAGAAGTAGTTTATCGTGTACCACTGAATCAAAAGCTTTACAGAAGTCTATATAAATTGCGCCTATTGCTTTGCCTTGATTGAGTTGTGTAGTCCATATGTTTTTGCAGTGTAGGATTTGTAGATTACAGGACTTTTTTCTGAAACCAAATTGTTTCCCCCAATAAACCAGAAAAAATCATTCCTCAATTAGATGTATTAAGTGTCAGCGTTCCAAATATCATCCAAAATTAAATCAGAGTCCAAGGCAAAACATTGCTCTAAGTTCCAATTTATTAAGAGAGACATGTTGGCACATNAGTAGCCTGCAGTGCTGCATTTAACCACTGCGCCACCTTGGGATAGAGGGCATTCATGTTCTTCTACTGACAGACAATGTGGCCGCAAA